CCCCAAAACCCCAAAACCCCAAAACCCCTGGCTAATATTACTAAATTGCAGTCTTAGTGGCTAAAATTAATAGATAAAGCTCACAAATAATCGTAAATTATTCAGTTTATTACAACAATGGAAAGTGAAACCCAGAATAGTGCAGAGGAGTTGAAGGAAAGAGTCACTTCTCAGAGCAACCTTGAAGCTAACTGGAATGTTGAAAGGTACCCTTTTTAGTTTGAGAGGAGACTTGAGTTTTTACACTTTGGCTACCAAGAAGTTCATAAATAACTTAAGTATCCTATTTTTCAGTTAAAATCATGATAATTTGGTTGAATTTATATTTTATAGAAATAGAGAAGTCCTTGAGGCTGATCTCTCACTTGAGTTTTCCGATGGAGACTTTGAAGAGTCTAAAGATCCTTTAGGATTAAATAAATATCTAATGTAAATTTATGGCTAACTGTTGTAGGAGCAAATATGAAATTTACAAATTGAAATTTTTCATTAAAAGTACTGACGAAGCATCAAAACTCATCAGTTTCATAAAGTCAGTCGAAGATCCAAGCAAACTTCAATTTGAAGAACTTAAATGGGACATTAACTCAGTTGATTTTGAAGTGTACAACCAGCTGTTAGAGCTGTGTCCTCATTCAGTTTTGAAGAATACTGAGCTTGTCAGAGAAACTGATGGATCAACCATCTTGGATAAAAATGATACTGTATTGCCTTACTTATACCAACTAAAACCACTTGATAAAATCTCATGGCAATCAATCGCAAAATTAGGAGTGCTCACTTTGTCTGAGTACAGTGATGACTTCTTTAAAGATGGAGTACTTGACTGCGAAGTTCCAATATCCCAGCTTTCTCTTTCATATACCTGTCTGCTTGAGTGGCTGGTTGAGGAAAATAATGTCCATACCAGTGTTGAACAAAGTGTTGTTTCGCTCAAAATATTTAGTATTAATGACAAGACATCCACTTACCATAATCTCCAGGAAAAAATTTCAAAGATGAAATGCATTTTACCAAATGTTACAAGTCTTGAATTGAATTTCTTGGAATGCAATCCAAAAGGAATCGAATGCATTTACAATTGCAGTGAAGGCTTTTTAGAAATTTCAGCTTCACTCGGCAGAAATACTCCCTATCAAAATTACGAAATCCGTGAGAACTGCAGAGCCCTTGCCTTTAAAGATCCGAAAGATTACGTGTTTTCAGCTGATTGGATAAAATATTCCTACAAAATTTCGAATCTTATTAAAGCATCTTATCATATTCTTTCAGTGAGAAGGTAAGTTCTAATAAGTCTGTATAATCAGCCACTATAATTTAGGTTTGAGTATATTGAAATTAAAGGATTCAAAAGACTTTACCCAGCAACTACTTATACGAATTCTCCAAGCATCATTAGTGAGAAAGATTTTACAGATCTGAAAGAACATGATCCTCTTTACCACGGAAATGTCAAAAAATTCAACTCATACTTCAAAATTCTCAGGCTATTCAAAGAAGAAAGACATAAATCTCCATACTATGAATATTACATGGACCCCAGAGAAGACGTTCAAAATCTCTTAAAGATAACTAAAGAGACATGTATCTTCCATCCATCACCTTCATTCCTCTATTGCACATTAGGGCAAAGGCAGAGGTTAATTATCGATGCGGATGGCTCTAGAAAGACCACTCTGAGAAATCTTTCATACCTAGTAGCCTTCCAAGCCAAAAAGTAAATTTTCCTCTTACCCTATAGCTCATCCTACAGCTCTGAATTTGAAGTAGTAATCCGCACAAGAGGCGTTAAGGATAATATAGCTGATAAGAACCCTAAATATGAGTTGTTCGTGAAGGTCCTGAAGACACTCAGTGCTGCTTCTGTGTGGAGAGTGCAGTTTGATACCTCAGTGTGGCAAAGTGAGGGGACAGGAGGGAAGTATGGTGGTTATGGAGTGATGGAGGTAGAGGAAGGGATAAAGAAGGGGAAGAAGAAAGCAAAGCAGAAGGGAGGGGTATTGCTTTTATTAAACTCAGTTATGCACTTAATCAAAATCAAAGAGCTTACAAATCTTTTAACAGTAATATTTCAGAATTTTACTTTTGTAGAACCCAAGCCTAAATGAAATCGAAGTTACCAACAAAGATAGCATTATTCTAAGACAAGTAATTGGTAGAAAGGACAGAAAAGATGACTTAAAAGACTTCTATGCCCAAGTTTCCGCTCTAGCTAGTAGAAAAGAAGGATGCCTGAAGAAGTTCCATGATTATGTTGTTGTTAGTTAAGAGATTTTGAGGTTGGATGGATTAGGATGGGGTTTTGGGGTTTTGGGGTTTTGGGG